AAAAATATTTGACTTTTATTCACTGCCAATAATACAACCAAGTTGTAAGTGTGGAATCCTGTCTTAGGAGTTTATAAAATAATTTTGTAAAAATAAGCATTTAAGTTAAGTGATATGTGTCACCATTTAAATATTATAGATAAATAACATAAGCAGAAGAGAAATTAAACAACATCTAAAGGTACATGAAAAACTATAAGAATTATTATTTTAAGATGAAATAATATAGCCACTGATACAATTTTATTTTTCCCCAAATCCTGTGATAATAATAGACCATTTTTTAAACAACATCAAAATTAATCATTTATATCCCTGGTTCTTGATGTGTTATATGAAGAACAGAGAAAGGAACTAGCTTTATCAGATATTAATATGTTATCAAAACATCATGATTTATAAAAAGTAAGGTACTGGCTAGTTACAGAATTAATGAAACAACGTACAGAATGAGCATAAATAAATCATGAAGTATGTATGTGTATACATATTATCTTATTAACATATCCACCAATTAATGTATTAATGCTGAATATATTTAACAGTTAATATATTCAGTTATACATAATTATATTATATAATGTTAATATATTTCCTTATACATTATTAACAATATACATTAAATATAAAATTAATATATAACATTTATATATTAATTATATATTTTTTACAGATTTTTTTTTAGGGAGAGAGGGATAGAAACATTAGTGTGAGAGAGAAACGTTGATCAGCTGCCTCCTGCATGCCCCCTACTGGGGTTTGAGCCTGCAGCCCCGGCATGTGCCCTGACAGGGATTGAACCAGGACCTCTCAGTCCATTGGACAATGCTCAATCCACTGAGCCACACCGGCTGGGTTATAGTAATTATACTAATGATGTTTCCATTCAGTGGGAAAGAGCTGGTTTACTGCACAAATGATATAATCTCAATTTGCTATCTCGCTAAAGGGAAAACAAAATGAAAAATTTTGTACTCTAAACACAAAAACAAATTCCAGATGAATTGCATATTTATATATTTTTAAAACTCTAAAAGTCTTGAAAAAAATTTAGTAGTCTATTTTCACAATGTTTGAAGGAAGAAACCTTTCTAACTAAGCCAGGTGATCTAGATGATATAAAAGACAGGACTATTGTACCATAAAATTGCAAAAAGAAAAATATTGGAAGAATCCTATACTCAAACACAATAAATAATAGCTCAGAAGAAATATCTTTTAGGGAAATATTAAAAATGTTCTTAATCCAACATTAATCTAGATAATCGATGTGAAGCCAAAATTCTGTCTCAAAGCATTTTACACATGTAGAGGAATATACAAATTTATAGGATAATAATTTTGCTTTAGTTTTTACTACTGCTTTCATTATTAATATTAATGTCATTCTAATTTTGGAATCCTTGTTACTAATATCAATAGAAATTACATACTCAAAGAATATGTATTTTAGGATTTAATATCTTTTTTTTTTTTTTTTTTCCTCACCCGAGGACATTTTTTCCAATTTTTGTACAGATAGAGTGGGAGGGAGAGAGAGAGAGAGAGAAACATCGACGTGAAAGGGACACATCGAGTGGCTGCCACCCGCACGACCAACCAGGGCCGGGGACAAACTGCAACCGGAGTACGCGCCCTTAGCAGGAACCGAACCCGGGTCCCTCCGGACCGCAGGCCAACGCTCTAACCGCTGAGCCAAACCGGCCAGGGCAGGATTTAATATCTTTAAAGGCAATAACCATGTCTTTCTGGAAAGTGTTCGATGAAATTTTAAAAAGTTGTACAAATTAATAGCAGATTCAATAACAACATAATATCATTTAAAATGGGCAAAAGTTATAAAAATAAAATTTACAAAAATTCAAACGCAGACAGCAATGTTAGATCTGCAAGGTCTGCTTCCTAGAACTCAAAGGATGTACTGGCCAATTGACTAGCTTCATGTTGACAACCGAGATATTCATTGTCAAAGAAGAAAGGGAGATGACACCTAATATTTTTCTCTCTGTCTCTCTATATATCTATATTTAAAGCTAAAATAGAATACTGAAATTTTTAAAAGTTACATGAAAATGACACTAACTAAAATTATGTGTAGTTTTAATTATAAGTATAAAATTATGTGAAAAATTATAGACCTGATGATTTAAAGAAAAAAGTAAGTTAAGTGGAATAGAGCAACATGGTGAAATGTATCCTCCCTATCTACTTTACTGCCAGGAATCTGTATCTAACCAAAAAAGGATTCCCTGATATTGTGATTACTCCAAGGACAACAACCTAAATTAAGGCTCTAAATCTTTTCTTTTAGATTAAAGATAAAATTAGCCATTACAGAAATTATTAACATTGTGTAAAATGTTTTGAATAGTGTGCTAATTGTTTGCCATTATATCATGGAATATCAAGGGTACTAAAGTGATATAATAGTCAGTATGTAATAACACTTTTAAGTATATTCATCTTTCTCATGAAAATGAGTAACTGTTTTCTTCAGCAGAGAAAACTGTTATAGTTTTAAGTAAAGCCTTTATGATATCTAGAAAGCAATAAGAGACAATATCATAGTGAGCTGTCACATTTAAAATCAGAAATAAAATATTAAGTATAAATAATCATAAAAGTAACGTGTACTATGTGACTATAAATTATATATTTTTGTCATTCTCAAAGCACAAAAAGAATGAGATATATTGTTAATACTATCACTATTTTCGAAAGGTGCTCTAAAATGGTTTTGAGCATAATTTGATCATTAGAATACGTGCAAAAAAATTTAAAAATTAAAAAAGAAAATTTAAACATTTCTGAAGAAACAAAGTTGATGAACTAATAAAAATATGTATAATAAATATTGATAAAGTTTCAGTTAACATAGAAATGTCATTTCTCACTACATGTACAGCTAAGGCTATTTTATTATTTATTGAATGATGTTTTACAGCTGTCTTGTATTTATGACAGTAGTGAGTAGTTGGGTAGGAGCCCAAGCCCTACATTCAAACCCAAGCTCCAGCATATGTTGGAGGTGTGACCCTGGACCTAACTCTTAGACATCTCAGTATACGCATCTCTAATCTATCTCATACAGTTGTGAGGACTAAATCAATTACTATTTATCAAGTGCTTAAACAGTCCCTGGCAAAGAGTACTTTGCTATTACTCATGGTAAGTGACACTGTTCTCCATTAAGTAAATGATCGTTCAGGTGACACAAAGGTTTGCCAAAATTTGTAAAGGTGGAATATAAATGAATAACTGAATTCAGTGATATTTTTTAAATGAAAATGTTGAATAAAATAGAATATACAAAGTATTCAGGATATGAAAAAGAAGAACAAAGCTGGATTATTTTTAAAATATAGCTAAAACTGCAAAGTTGAATAATTTAAATACAGATATAAATATAAATACAGAAATAGATATCTACTGTGAGATATGCATTTGAAGAAAAATGGTATTCACGAAGGTACACAAGAGCATTTCATTAATAAGAAATTGATGAAAATTGAAATTATTTGTCTAGTAATTGTTTCACCTAGATGACAAATGGATTTCAGAAGCAAAATAACTGTTGTTTATTTTTTTTTCTTCATTTTTTCAGAAATATATTCCCTGGCATGTATTGGCAGTATGCTAGGTCTTGTTGGTTATAAAACAAAAAAATGAGAAATCCATCTTTGTGTTTAGCTATTTTCACCAATATAATTAATACTAATAACCCATACTTGTATATAATATTAGGGTTTAGAAATTTATTCACATAAACAATGCATTTGTTCTTCAAAAATATCCTATTAAGTGAAACTGATTTTCATTCTTTATAATGTCCAAAATGGGGTCTAGAGAGTACAGAAAATAGCTCATGTTACAATCAAAACCAGAACATGGATTCTCAGACTAAAAGGTTTAATGCCCAATCCCCATACCTTGACTGCCCTTCCTGAAGCCCTAGGTCTAGTTCGATGCATATGTAGACTTGCAAAGCACTACCTTGTTCTCTAGTGCTACAGTATGATATATAATAATGGGGGGAGCACTTAGGTGACTATCATTTAAATCAACATCTATTTAAATATTAGTGACCTTGAACATAGTTTCAATCATTCTTTGGCCATCTGTATTTCCTCGTTTTTGAACTGTTGTTTATACTCCTTTTAATGCATTGCAAAGAAATACAAAACAAAGACTTTGAAGTAAGACACAAAAGGTTCAGCTTTGCCACTAAGCAAATATTTGGATTTTGTATGAGTTAATGATTCTGAATTGCAATTTCCTTGATTTAATAATAATAATAATAACACCTACACCATGGAGTTGTACTGATAGAAATGACTACAGTAAATACAAAAGAAAGTCATGAACCCATTTGTATTGCAATGTTAGTAGTGGTTCCTGATTTCAGTTAGTATTTCTGTATTAATTATGTTAAAATAATTTGTATTTTATATTTACATAACTATTATTAGACTTTTAATTGTATAAAACATTATTTTTAACAAATTCATATTTTAAGGCTTTCAATTTTTAAGCAGCTTTATTATTTATTATGCCTTTGATTTTTTTCCTCTATTTATCAATATGCAGGTGGGATGATTAATATGAATAAAAATAGATGTATACCCTGTAATAATTTTTCAGGGAATCATTAGCTTTGCAAAGATGCAATTATTTTTCATAACTATGAGTAAATTTATTACACTAGCTATTTTTTAATTTTCCAAAGTCATTTTTGGCTCACACACATATGTGTTAAGTAGTATGACATTCAACTATTTTGGAAGTTGTACTTATGTGGTATGGAATAAAATACAGTGAAGATATAATGAATATACATAAAGGTTACACTATCCATGTTTTTCTATCAGTGTACTAAATTTTCTGTCAAAATTTTTAAATTTAATTTTTATCAAATATTTATTAAGACAGCAGAGATATTTCATCTTCTGTAAAATATGACAGCATACAGAATGACAGAATAAAAGGTAGAAATTCTGTACCTTGTGCAGGATCCAAACCAAGCTTGAAGGCAGAATTCTCAATGAGGAAGCTATCGCACTGAATGCCAAGGGTGAAATCCTTGGGCATTTCCCGATCTAATAAAAGTATAAAGAGATGTTATACTTAAATGCCACATTTAAGAGAAAAAACATCAGTGAAGATTGAAACAGAATCAAAACTCTCCTCTACCAGGAAATGTGTCAAGATTATTGTTCAAAATACATTTTAAGATGAGATTTAAATGACACTTTAGAAGAACATATCCAACATTATATAAGGTTTTCTCTATAATATTCAAGAAACATTATAAAATCAACTCATAAATCCTTGGAATTTTCATTTAAACTACTCAAATAACAGATATCACTGAGACCCTGTTTGATCCAATAATCTAAATTTGGATTGTTGTAGTTAATATTTACATATGCATAAATATACATTTATGCAACATTAACAATAACTTTAACCAATAACTACAAAATCAGTCAATTATCTAAAACATACTTACTGGCTACATAACAGGTAATTGCTCTTAGTGGTACCATGTATAAAAGATAAAAACTCTGTTAGCACAGGCATTTGTAACTTTAACTATGCTGAACTAGATATCAGCTGACACTGTCCTTGGAAAGAAATGGGAGTGTATAATGTTACAAACCCTATGAAGGGGATTTTGTAACATATAGTAAAAAAATATATATATATATATATATATATATATATATATATATATATCATTTGCCTACCAATACTTCTTGTGGGAATACAACTAAAATATAAAGCTCAAATATAAAACAATACGCATTGGGGTGTTATTTATACAGCAAATTATTAGAAATAATAAAAAGGTCCATGTACTGAAGACTAGTTGCATATAAATAATAGTGCACCAAAAAACGGAGGTACTAAAAATTCATGAAAATCAATGACAAAGGTGTCCATTAACTGATATTCCAGACATATTGTTAGGTAAAGTTAGCAAGGTGCAAAAGAAATTATGTAGTATTCTACCTTTGCATGAGATAGACGATGAAACAGAACTATGTGTATGTGTATGCATTTATTCATATCTACTCATTTTTGCAAAAACAAACACTGTGGATAAGTCATAATACAATGAACATGGTCATCCATACAGCTGGTTGAGAATGTAGTGGGCTGTGAAGCATGGGAATAGGATTTGTTTAAATAGAACTTTTTATATAACTTTCAGTTTTTAACAATGCATCCTCACAAATCCAAAAATTAAATTAAATTTTAAGAGTTTTTTAAAATACGTTTTGATTTTTGAGACAGAGAAAGGGAGAGAGAGACAGAAACATAGATGTGAGAGAAACATCGATCGGCTGCCTCTTGCATGCCCCACACTGAGGATCGTGCCTGCAACATAAGCATGTGCCCAGGAATTGAACCAGGAATCGAACCAAGACCTCTCAGTCCATGGGACAGCATTCAATCCACTGAGCCACACTGGTCGGGCTAAAAGTATGAAAAAGAAAATCTTAAAATTGAATTTAAATTACAACATAAGGAATCCATTTTTTAAAATAAATTGACAACTAAGTTACATACAATAAAGAATTAATTAAAGAATATTTTGGCCATAATTTCCTGACTGTTCTACTGTAGTTCAATACATTCTAGGAGAAAAAAGTAATTGCAAAGATAGCATTAACTTTATTTAGTAGTTTTTGGTTCTCTCTTTTTTCTTTTTCAGTAGTTGTAAGAATATAGTAATTTTGAAAATATTAGGGGTGTATGGCTATGATAGAGCAAAGCAGTATTGCACTGATGTTTGGGGAACCAGGTTTTTCATGTGGGAGAAGGGAGAGCGAGTTAAGTTGAGGAAAAACCCTGTGGCATAGGATATGAATGGGAGGCATCAGTATGAAATAATCCTTTTCAATAATTATATTTCTTTGCTCTGTCCACTGCAAGGGACATCCCAGCAGCAATGAGCACATCTAGTGCCATATCATGGATACTAAATACCTTGCCTCTATAAAGTGAGCCTTGGAAAAATGCCTAATTTGAGCTTTACAGCAAGTTAAGGGCAAGTTACCTGGAGCATCTTGTTGTACCACAAAGTAACAAAATGTTCAAAAACTAATGGGGAACAATCCAAAGGACTTAGAGATGGACTTGTAAAAGATTCCATTGGCGAAATTTGAGAGTATCCAAAAGAATAATAATTACTTTAAAAAAAAAAAACATGAAAATAAAGTAGCCCCATTCCTTCTAGGCCCTCTGTATTATAACTGAAAATTCCCAGAAAACATAGCAGACAAGCATGGAGAAACTCTGAAATGTAGAACGAAGAGGGCAGCCTGTTTAGAGACCCTGGGACTTGAGGAATGAATGGTGGTAAGTTCCCTGGTTTCCATATTGCCTCCCACATATACTGGACAAGGCACTGCAGAAGCCTTGGGTCCAGATCAGGTAACAGGGGCAAAGAAAAAAAAGGGGAGGGGCCTTTCTTCTACCTCTTGAATTGGCAGAAGCAGGCAGCCTTCCAATTCTCTTGTTGGGATAGCAGGCTGTGGGAAAGAGTAGTCAGGGTAGAGCTGACGGAAGGGAGGGAGGGAGGGAGGGAGGAAGGAAGGAAGGAAGGAAGGAAGGAAGGAAGGAAGGAAGGAAGGAAGGAAGGAAGGAAGGAAATAAGGAAGGAAGGAAATAAGTAAGCAAACAAGTGAATAAATATATAAATAAAGCAAGGTCTGACAATGTTCTGTCTACAAGAAACTTTTTGAAATTTAATAACATAGGTAGTTTGAAAGAAAAAGATGTACCGTGCAAATGTTAACTTTTAAAAAAACAGGAATTGTTACATTGATATCATATAAATTAAATTTCAGAGAAAAGAAAATTACCAGAGACAAAGAGGGGTATTACATAATTTAAAAATATAGATACACCAGGAAGACATACAATCCTAATGTGTCTATAACAGAGCCTCCACTTACATGAAGCAAAAATCGATAGAGTTGAAAGAAGAAATAAACAAGTACACCATTACAGTTGTGTACTTTAACATCTCCCTCTCAGCAGTTGAGAAACCTACTAGTCAGAAAATCTGTAAAGATACAGAAGACCCAAATAACAAAATTAAGCAACAGAATTCAAATAACATATTTAGTAGAACACTCCACAAAACAACAGCAGAATACATATCTGTTTCAAGCTCCTACGGGACATTCAGCAAGATAGACCATATCCTGGGTCATAAAACAAACCTCAACAAATTTAAAATAATCTGAATCCTACAGATTGTGTTCTTTTGACCAGAGGGACTCGATAACAGAATGACAAAGGGAAAAGGCGGGATGGGGGGAGGGTTTTGAACTATCTTTTCCCAGTCTGCCCTGGCACCCCTCTTTAAATGCCTTCTCAAAACCAGTAAAAATTGGCTATAGTCAAAAAATTCAGCAAACAAGTTCAATAGTTCTCAATTCAAGAGGAAAAAGAGTGAGATATTATTTTCTATTGATGTAAGAGTGATGAATTTGTACAGATATTAGTTCTAGTTATTTTAAATTGCTCATAAAAGCCATAAGGTCCTACTAGATCTGGAGAGAAATCCACAGAAGGAAGAGATGGGTTTCAAAGTCGTTTTTGTTAATGTTTTGTTTTTGTTTTCCCAAACTCAGGAACATTACCCAGAAATACAGTGATAATGACACTTTTATTATTTTTATTTATTTATTTATTTTTAATCCTCATTCGACAACACTTTTCCATTGATTTTCAGATAAAGTGGGAGTGAGGGAGAGAACAAGGGAGAGAGAGAAAAAACATTGATGTGAGAGACACATTGATTGTCTCCCCCGTGACCCCAACCAGGGCTGGGGACTGCAACCGAAGTATATGCCCTTGACCATAACCAAACCCAAAATCCTTTGGTCTGTGGGCTGATGCTCTAACTGCTGAGTCAAACCAACCAGAGGATAATGACACTTTTAAACAAAGGAATCAAGTTGCCTTCCCTGAAGAAAAGAGTGGATCATCACTCATTAATTGATCAAAGAATCACTGGCTAGAAGCTACCTTGGAGATGACCTGGCACATCCTGCAGTGTGTTAGGAGACACAGAAGCCCAAAAAATATGAATTGCTTGCCAAAGGTGACAAAGCTTGTGTCTTCTGAATTGAGATCCCCACATGTTTTATACATTGAATGATCTATAGTCAAGTGTGATAGTGAGATGGGTACTTGAAAACAAGAAAAGCTGAGATGCAAAAGATTAAAAAAAAATCCATGATTCTGTACTCATACTCAAAAATAAAATAAAAAAGAGTTTGGGGAAGGGGAGGAAAAAGGTCTTTCTCTCTCTCTCTCTCTCTCTCTCTCTCTCTATATATATATATATATATATATATATATATATATATATACACATACATATATATATAATAAAATCATCAAGGATAATAGACATAATAATTGATACTGGTAGAGAAACTGACAGGATACTAAAACCATCAAGTAAAGGTGGTAAAGGAGGAGGTTATTTACATTGTCTCAAATTATCACCCCTCCCCAAATTATTTATTGTTAGTTATAAGGGAAAAAGATGACCTTTACAACATAACAAATAGTCTAGCAGACATGACCTTAATCAAGTGATTAAACTTAGCTTCCCCAATAACAGGACTAACATTTGGTGCCTCCTGATGGTGTTTGAATGAGCATATCTAGTGCCCACATCTCTTATGTGACATTCTTACCAAAATGTGTAGTTTGAATTAAATAATGAAGAAACAACCAAGGAAATCTACAATGTGCAATATTCTATAAGACATCTGGCCTAGACTCTTCAAATGCCAATATAAAAGACAGGACAAGGTAGGAGGGCACCTTTAGATTAAATGAGGTTTAAGAGATCTCATAACCAAATGCAGTGCATAATCCTTGATTGAATCCTGGGTTGGAAAAAATAGATAAAAGAAACTACAATATAAAGAGACTGTTATATATTTGATACTCCAACTTCCCTATCTACCAATCTCCAATCTCTCAATATGGTTTATTTTATTTATTAATTCCAATATTGAAATAGCTGATTGTCTGAATTTGGAGAGATTTTGACAATGTGGGA